TATATAATTAGGTATATGGGTTGGATATATAAGTCAAGTATATGAGTCAGGTATATAAATCAGATATATGAATTAGGTATATGAGTCAGGTATGCAGATATTAACTTTCATACCTAATACTTCCTCAATACTTAATAGGTATATATTTTTTATAACCAATATTTAACTGTCTCTTTATAGATATACATAGAATACGTATCCAAATAATTCAGTTACCTACAGATATTAAATATATCTACACCTGATGCTCAGCCTTACTTTCACCTATGATGAGAACGTGGCACTGTACACAATATTGGGCTTAGGCCTACACATAATAGTTATAAACGCTTTTGGTACAGGCCCAACAGAGAGTCCGATTCATTTTGGTCAATTGGCCGGGCTCAAACACAAAAGTTGACATTGCATAAGGATTTTTTTTTTTCGTTTTTGATTTACACGAGCTAAAGTAAATTTGTACTGTACCTAACTATTACAATATAAAATAATTAAATAAGATTTAAAGTTAAAAGTTAAGGATTTAAACATCTGTTATTCTAAATGATTAGCTCTCAAATTGGGAAAAAAACAAAAAATATATAACTTGTTTATTTTTTGAGATAGGAAAATTTTTAATCATAAGAAAAAACGAACTAAAATTTTTTAATTCACTTTATCACAAAATAAAAAATAATTTTTAATACGTATGTAAAAGAAAATAAAAAGGTTTGTAGCATAAATGTTGTAGATGAGGAATGGATATGCATTTATCCTGATTGTTACATTTGACCTCAAATAAGTAGACGTACCCCATTGCCTGTCAACTTCAATGACTGGATGTGATAATTATTTATTCCTACAGTTTAACGACTTCTAATTTGGACTGAAATTTCTGTGCTTTATTTTAAAAATTGTGGTACTGCTAAATTCGTAAAAATTTTTAGAGAGCAATTCAGAAGTGGTAGAGGTGATTTGATTAGAACAGTCACAAACATCTAAACAAGTAGTATATGATAGTAGATTAAATAAACACTTATGTACCAATTTTGGTTACATTTTTATCAAGATATATGATTTTGAACGTCACAATTAATACTCTCAAATTTAAGGACAAATACTACCACCCATACAACCCAAACTTGACCCACTACCATCTTAACTGAAATTGCATGATCATGAAAGTTAATCACATTTTCACAATATGTATTTAAGTTAATCATATTTTCTTAATGGATAATGATTCATGCACCCGTTGATTCGACACTCACAGGTGCATACTCCACAAACCAAATAATTGCAAAAGTAAAATTACAAATTTACCTTTAAACCATTTTCTTTTTTACAAAACCCATTTCCCAAATGACAACAAAAACAAATCATTTGAATACCAACAAAACTCAATCAAGTATTCAAGCATCAAATCAAAATCTTAAGTAAATTTCCTAAATGATAGCAACATCTTCCTAAACGATAGCAACATCAAATCAGTGGAAATTAATTTCCCAAATGACAACAACACCAAATTTTGAGAAATAATTCATTTTCACATAAAATCATTGTCAATTTAGCTCGTGATTTTGTAATCCCATTAAACATATAAAACAAGTTTGTTTTTGGGATGATATAGCAAAAAGTGGAGTGCATGTAAGTTGAGTCAATCAGCAGAAAAGAGAAAAGAAAACATGGAAAATTTTTGCAGTTTTGATACTACACGCAACTTTGCTATTTTGTTCAATCTATAAAATTTCATTATTGGATTGAGTTAAAATTTTATCTTAGTATTCAAAAGACATTAATTTATATTTTGAACTATCAATTTTTCATTTAGAGTTTTGTAAGTTTTGATTTTGTGTCCAGAACGGTAGCTCATTTCTGATAATCTTTTTTTTTTTTTGTGGTCTTATTTTCTTTGTTAGTTTGTGGCTGACTATTCCTCTTAATTATTTGGTGCTGGTTTTTTCACAATCCTATTTT